ATATCCTCTTTGGCGCGCCCCAGAAATCGCCGCGCGCCGCGCGATGCGCTTGCCTCTGGCTGGCGCCAGGCGGACGGCTTCTTCCGAGTTGAAACTCCGTCCGCGCAGCCCAGGGGCGCTTGTCATTGCATTCCCCGCAGCAAGAAGAGCGGGAATACCACCCGTCGGGTCTCGGCCCGCAGTCGCTCTGCCAAGAGGTGCCAGCGGCGTCCGCAGCTTTTGCGGCGCTCGCACGCTGCCCGCGCGCCGCCGCGGCGCCTCCTGCTGCGCCCCTGCCGATTGGCGCAGCAACCTGCGCGGCAGTGGCGGCGCAGCGCGCGAAGGGAGATTCGACGACGCGCCCTTCGGTGCCATATCATGCTCTGTTTCTGCTGCGCGGAGCAGCCCGCTGTCAAGCGACAGCGCAGCTTCTTTCACTTGCGCGCCAGCGCGCGCCCGAGAGCATCGCACACGAAGCGGCGGCCTTGCAGTCCGCCGCGCCGGCGGCGGCGCGCTCGGCCCGCGCCCTCCGCGCAAGGCGGTCGCGTGCCAAGGCAACCTGGGCATTTCGCCTGCGAAGGGGCATCTTGTGCAACCCGGGCGGGCGCGCTCCCGCGGGCGACCGGCAGACGGGGCCGGCCTGAGCTCGCCTGGAGAACGACGTGTTTGCGGGCCATGGCGCTTGTATGCGATTCTGAGCTGCGACTGCCGCCGCCAAGTTTCGCGCGTCGCGCGCCCGGCGCCGCGGCGCCCGCGCCAGAAGCGGCTGGCTCTCCGCCGCGGTGCCCCGGCCGAGCGCTTTAGCCAGCTCGGCTGCTCTTTCTGGCGCGGGCCCGTCGTCGCCGGGAGAGCCGCCCGCGCCGCGCGCGCGGAGAGGTTGAAGCTTCGCAAGCTCCGTATAGGTAAACGTGCGCTCGATGCCCTTGGCTTCAGCGCGCTGCCCCTCGGTGGGCAGCGCGTCGGTCTTCGCCGCCCTGAGCGAACTGCGGATGCGCGCCGGCGCGCCGGCACTGCGACGCGCGGCTGTTTTCGGCCACAATGATAGGTGGGGCCTCGCGGGGTGATCTGGGCCAGGCCCGCGCCGTTGTCGACATGTTTCCTCCTCGGCGCAGGCCCGGGATTCTGCTGCGTCGCCGCCGCGACGTCGAGCCGAAGCACGCGCGGGCCTCGCGGCCCCCGGCGAACTCGCCTTGGCGCCCGTCGCCGTCGCGCGATCCAGAGCGCGCCGCAGGGCGCCCTTCGACAGGTCAGGCATGCCGTCGGCTTCCTGCTAATCTTCGAATTGAGTATTTGCCAAACTGTTGACGCTTCGCGTATCCCCACCAGCCCATCCAGAAACGATGCCCAGGGGAGTTGAGGTGATCAGGGAAGTCGGGGAGCATGCAGAATAACAAAGGGCGGGGGAAACTGTCACGTACCCCAAGAGGGGGAGGATGGAGAAGGAATCCTCGTCGGAGGGGGAGGGGGAGGAAGAGGAGGAGGAGGAGGAGGAGGAGGAGGAGGAGGAGGAGGAGGAGAATGAGGAGGAGGATGTGGAGTAGGGAGAGGACGAGGAGGACGAGAAGGAGGAGAAGGAGCAGAGGGAGGAGAAGGAGGAGACGGAGGAGAAGGAGGAGGAGGAGGAGGAAGAAGGGGATGAGAAATTGTAGAGGACGGCGAACCGAAGAGCCAGAAGCGTCTTAAATGCATTTCGGAGATCTTATTGAGGCTTCTTGGGGGTCTCTTGGGAGCCTCTTGGAGGCCTCTTGGGCGCCTCTTGGGGCCGTTTGGGCGCCTCTTGGGGCGCTCTCGGGGCGCTCTTCGGGGCTGTATGGGCGCTCTTGGGGCCATCTTGGAGGAGATCGATCAACGAAGGGGGGTTCCCTAATTAGCCTCCCCCCTCAGGAGCTCCAAACATCGCCTCTTGGGGCGCTTTTGGGGCGCTCTTGGAGCGCTCGTGCGCGCTCTTGGGGCCGTCTTGGGGCTCTCCTGGGCCTCTTGTGGGGCCCTCTTGGGCCATCTTGGAGCCATCTTGAGGCCTTGGATGGCCATCGGAAGCGAAACGGGGAGAAAGCAACAAACATTGATGTTCCGCAGGTTTTGGGACGATTTGAGCCTCTTCGGAGCCTCCTTGGGGAGCTCTTTGGCCACTTGGAGCCGTCTTGGGGCCGTCTTTGGGCCTCTTGGAACCATCTTAGGAGCCATCTCGAGCGATCTTGCGCTATCTTGAGCCATCTTGGAGCTCATCTTGGGCTCTCTGACGCGCTCTTGAAGCCATCTTGGGGCCAAAAGAGCCGTCCGACCGCTCGGCGAACCCTCCGTCCAGGTCCAGGGGAGGGGGTACAGTAGGGGGAGGGGTAAACCCCTCCCCAAGGGGGAAGAGGGAGGGGTGGAAGAGGATCTGTTCTAGACCACCTACGTCCAGAGGGCTGGTGGGATTGTCGGGCGCCGCCAGCCACTTGGCCGCGGGGTGATCAACCGCGCGCTTGAACTGTATGTCAGTCCACTCCGCGCCCACAAAGGGGTCAGATTGCAAGGAGGCAAGCGTCGCCGTCGCGAGCCCAGCGCCACGGGGCGCGCGCAAGAACCCTGCGCGACGGCGCTAGCTGCCCGTCAGCTGAGACCCGCGCGCCCGCGCGCAGGCGCGTCGCGATGAAGAATGGGCGCGCCAGAGGGCACGGTGGACATCGGGGGCCGTGCGAAGCCCTCGCTCCGTCGCCAAGGACGCTTCCCCGAGCCGCTACGGGCCGCAGGGGTTCCCCGAAGGGGCGAGCCGGTGGCCCAGGCTGACCCCTCGCGACCCCGGCGAGCACGCAGAAGACAACGCAACGAGCCCCCCTGAAGCCGCTCAGGACTCGCGGCCCCAGTGGGCACATGGTCGCAGAGGACCCGAAAGCAACTGGCCGCTATGGACTAGGGGGAGAAGCCCCATGGGTCACTTTGCACCACGACACGTGGTCACTACGGACCAGAAGTCACTATGAACCAGAAGAGGGAGCCCCATTTGGGCGAGTGACCACTATGGCACTATGGCCCAACGACAGCACGTGGACAGTATGGACCAGAAGAGATGGCCCCGTTAGGCCAGTGAGCGCAGCAGGCCACTATGAGCCACCGCACGTGGTCACTATGGACCAAAACGCGAGACACGGCACAGGCCACGATGGACCGAAAAGCGAGGCACGACATGGTATTTATACTCCGCCCCAGTACCAGGCGGAAGAAGCACGGCACGGCACAGCACCCCCGCGGCCTGCCGCGGGGTCGTTTCCAGCGCATGCGGATTTGTCCCAAGCAATAGTTCCGTTATTCCGACCTCATAGGCTCGTCTTTGCGGTTGGTTGTGGTCCTTCGGAGTTTTCTTGGTGTACCGCTTGGATATTTCCTATGTCTCCCTGCCACACGGCGTTGCATTACACGCCTCCGGACTCGAGATAGTTGGAGGGTTGGGGGTTTGGAGGTTGGAAAGTTGGGAGTTCTTTGCAATTTTGGAGGCTTGAGGAAGCCGTCTCGACGTTTTGCTTCGGACGCTATTGGAACGTCTTGAGGTCTTTGTAGGAGTCGCTTGGGAGCCTCCTGAGGACCTTTCTGTGGGAATCCGGGGCCCTCTTGAGCCTTGGAGCGGCTGTGTGCCTTTGGAGGGATGTCTTGGCACCGTTGTTTGGGCTGCCTGGGAGGCCTCTGTTGGCTGTTTCTGACTTCCCTGGAGGTTTTCTTGAACCATCTTGAGCCGCCTTAAAGAAGTATATTGGGACCCTCTTGGGTTGTTTTCGGGGCTTTCTTGGCTAGTCCTGGAACTCTCTCAAGCCATGCTGAACTTACATTGAGCAGAGGAACGGACCGTGCGAAACACATAGAAAACGAACAAGCGTTTAACGATGTTGGCTGTCTCGGGCCTCTTCGAACGCCTTGGTGCCTCTCTTGGAGTTTCTTCTGGGTCTCCTTGGGGCCCCTTGGAACCTCCCAAAAACTTATTGGGGTCGTTTTGGGTATGATGAGTTTCGGGACAGAATCCCCGTGGGATCTTCGCTGGCCGTTTCTGGTATCGCTTGGAGTTCTTTTGGGTCGAATTTGAGCTTTCTGAAGCAATCTTGAAGCCAGGTTCTGCCGCCGCCCCGATCAGGCGAAAATATCGAAACAAAGCACATTGGATGTTGACTGTTTGGGCTACCTGGGGCCATTCATGGTGCGTCATAACGATGTTCTTAGAGGTTATTGTGGGTATCCCCAGATCCCTTGGGGCCTCGGAACCTTCAGAGGGCCTCATGCTGATTTTGGGGGTCTCTGAGACTACTTTGGGGGGCATTCGGGTCGTTAGGGACGGATCTTGCTTCAGGAGACAGACGCCACACGCCCTGGTAGCGTAGGATACCAGGGAACTTCGGCCATCATGGGGTTGTAGGTTGGGGCCTTCACGAATTCGACAAGCCCTCGGACACTCACATTTTTGAGGCACTCCGCTACGTGCTGAAGGCACGGTGGCGGATATGTAGCAGGTAGTATGTAACAGGTGACAAGAAATGAGTAGCATAATGTAGCAAAAGGATCACTCAAATAAATGGGGCCTTCTTAGAATGGCCTGGACGCTGCCAATGTGGCTTTTATATCGCTGGGATAGTTCGGTAGGCCCCCACCTTCTGAGAGGCACCTCGCCTTCGTAGAAGGCCTCCCTCCCCCCTTCGCGCCACCCCCGTTGTGTGCGCCGCCAACCCCACCCGGGGAGGTCCCGACCCTTTCCCCCGGCGACGCTCTTCGTCATGGATCCGTTTTTGATGAGCCTCGGGCCCGATGACGGGCCCCAGGGTCGCCGAGCGCGTTCCACTCTTCCCAAAGTGCTTAATTACTCGCAAACGTCAGAGAATAAAGAAAACATATTGCGACGATGTAATGGATCGTAGGTCCCCCGCGGCGGATCCAGGCCATTTGCGAGTAGTTTTTTTGCGAGTAGTGGAGCGCGCTTGTCTACAGGGGCCGAAATCGAGAAGAGCGCAGCGATGGACAGCAGCATTCCGCACGCAAAACACCCCGCGGGCGCCGCGCAGGGGCCTACATGGCCCTCGAGCTGGCGCGGGCCATGCCGGAGGCCCGTGCGGGGGCTGCGGGCAGGGGTCAGGGGCAGCGGCAGGAGAGGAAGCATCGACCTCGGCGGAGAGCGAGGGGGCAAGTGAGAAGGAAAGGCCCTCTCAGACGGCGGCTTGGCTTCTCAAAATCCCTCCGGCCTTCGAGAAATTCTCGGTGTCTTCGGGGCAGGCTTAGATCAGTAGGGGAATACACACAGACACAAGTAATCGTCGACTCCCAGGAAAATATGGAAAATTCTTTACGCTTCGCGTATCCCCACCAGCCCATCTCACAACAGCAACTCATGCGAAGCATGCCGACAGTCGTGTTTTTCAGGCGTGTGTCCGTTTGGCCCCGCATATCTCCCCGGTCCCTCCTTCCTCCCGCCTCCTTGTACATCCTCCTTGTGGGGGGAGCGGGAGAAGGACGAGGCGGAGGAGGAGGGAGAGAAAGCGCTCCTCGTGATTTGAGTCGTTTGGGGTTTCTCGTCCTGGTGTGAGTCGTTCGGGCCCTTCTTCCTGGTGTGAGTCGTTCGGGCTCTTCGTGGTGTGAGTCGTTCGGGCTCTTCGTCCTGGTGTGAGTCGTTCGGGCTTCTCGTGGTGTGAGTTGTTCGGGCCCCTCATCCTGGTGTGAGTCGTTCGGGCCCCTCCTCCTGGTGTGACTCGTTCGGGCTCCTCGTGGTGTGAGTCGTTCGGGGCCCGCGTCGTGGTGTGAGTCGTTCGGGCTCCTCGTGGTGTGAGTCGTTCGGGCGCCTCGTCCTGGTGTGAGTCGTTCGGGCCCCTCCTTGTGGTGTGAGTCGTTCGGGCTCTTCGTGGTGTGAGTCGTTCGGGCCCCTCGTCCTGGTGTGAGTCGTTCGGGCTCCTCGTGGGGCCCCAGAGCCTCTTGGGGCCTCTTGGGGGCCTCTTGGGGGCCTCTTGGGGGCCTCCTGGGGCCTCTCGGATACAGTGGATTGGACGACTGGGGAAAGCGAGTGGGGAGACGAAATGTTTCCTCAATTGAGTTTCTGTTCGTGGGTTCGCTGGTACTGGTTTCTGTATTCTGTACTGGTGCTTGTTATTCTGCTGAGGGGATGGTGCTGGTTAGTGTACTCGCCGCTATTGCCTCTTATTCTTGGTGATTGCGGGGTTCCTTCGGGTGTCCGGCAGTGGGCTGAGATGGTGTATAGTCTCTTGTCCAGTACTGGGAGTACCTTGTGAGACACCGCTGCATCAATAATGGGTGGGTGTGGCCGCTAGCACGGTGCAGTGGATTCGTTCGGTGCTCTCCTCCTGGTGTGAGTAGTTCGGGTCCCCCCTCCTGGACAGAGTCGTTCGGGCCCCTCCTCGATGTGTGAGTCGTTCGGCGAGGGGCCCGAACGACACACCGATGTGTGAGTCGTTCGGCGAGGGGCCCGAACGACTCACACTAGGAAGGGCCCGAACGACTCACACCAGGGCGAGGGGCCCCAACGACGCACACCACCTGCATTCTGGTCGAGGACGACCGCCTTCTGTCTTGCCTCCCATCGCCTTCTCTCCCTCCTCCTCTTCCTCCTCTTCGGCTCCTAGTCGTAGGTAGTAGAAGTAGTACCAGTAGGATCAGTTGTATACTGGTAGTAGTATGAGCGCTGCCTTCTCCTAGTGTGACTCGTTCGGGCTCCTCGTGGTGTGAGTCGTTCGAGACCCGCGTCGTGGTGTGAGTCGTTCGGGCTCCTCGTGGTGTGAGTCGGTCGGGCGCCTCGGCCTGGTATGAGTCGTTCGGGCCTCTCCTTGCGGTGTGAGTCGTTCGGGCTCTTCGTGGTATGAGTCGTTCGGGCCCCTCGTCCTGGTGTGAGTCGTTCGGGCTCCTCGTGGGGCCTCTTGGGGACTTCTTGGGGGCGTATTGGGGCGTCTGGGGGGCCTCTTGGGGACCTCTTGGGGGTATATTTGGGGCCTCATGGAGGCGTCGTGGTGCCTCCTGGGGACCTCTTGTGGGCCATCTGGGGACCTCTGGGGGCCACATGGTGCACCTCTGGGGGCCCTTTTGGGGGGCTTGTATGGGCGCTGCCCCTCCTCCTGGTGTGACTCGTTCGGGCTCCTCGTGGTGTGAGTCGTTCGAGGCCCGCGACGTGGTGTGAGTCGTTCGGGCTCCTCGTGGTGTGAATGGGTCGGGCGCCTCGTCCTGGTGTGAGTCGTTGGAGGCCCGCGTCGTGGTGTGAGTCGTTCGGGCTCCTCGTGGTGTGAATGGGTCGAATGCCTCGTCCTGGTATGAGTCGTTCGGGCTCCTCCTTGAGGTGTGAGTCGTTCGGGCTCTTCGTGGTGTGCGTCGTTCGGGCCCCTCCTCCTGGTGTGAGTAGTTCGGGTCCCCCCTCCTGGACAGAGTCGTTCGGGCCCCTCCTCGATGTGTGAGTCGTTCGGCGAGGGGCCCGAACGACTCACACAAGGAAGGCCCGAACGACTCACACCAGGGCGAGGGGCCCCAACGACGCACACCACATGCATTCTGGTCCAGGACGTCGCCGTCGTGTGAGTCGACAGAGTCGGTTACGTGTAGGACTGGAGAACGACCGCCTTCTGTCTTGCCTCCCATCGCCTTCTCTCCCTCCTCCTCTTCCTCCTCTTCGGCTCCTAGTCGTAGTAGTAGAAGTAGTACCAGTAGGATCAGTTGTAGTTCTGGTAGTGGTTAGTAGTAGCAGTAGTAGTAGTAGTAGTAGTAGTAGTAGTAGTAGTAGTAGTAGTAGTAGTAGTAGTAGTAGTAGTAGTAGTAGTAGTAGTAGTAGTAGTAGTAGTAGTAGTAGTAGTAGTAGTAGTAGTAGTAGTAGTAGTAGTAGTAGTAGTAGTAGCAGTAGTAGTAGTAGTAGTAGTAGTAGTAGTAGTAGTAGTAGTAGTAGTAGTAGTAGTAGTAGTAGTAGTAGTAGTAGTAGTAGTAGTAGTAGTAGTAGTAGTAGTAGTAGTAGTAGTAGTAGTAGTAGTAGTAGTAGTAGTAGTAGTAGTAGTAGTAGTAGTAGTAGTAGTAGTACGTAGTAGTAGTAGTAGTAGTAGTAGTAGTAGTAGTAGTAGTAGTAGTAGTAGTAGTAGTAGTAGTAGTAGTAGTAGTAGTAGTAGTAGTAGTAGTAGTAGTAGTAGTAGTAGTAGTAGTAGTAGTAGTAGTAGTAGTAGTAGTAGTAGTAGTAGTTAGTAGTAGTTATAGTAGTAGTAGTAGTAGTAGTAGTAGTAGTAGTAGTAGTAGTAGTAGTAGTAGTAGTAGTAGTAGTAGTAGTAGTAGTAGTAGTAGTAGTAGTAGTAGTAGTAGTAGTAGTAGTAGTAGTAGTAGTAGTAGTAGTAGTAGTAGTAGTAGTAGTAGTAGTAGTAGTAGTAGTAGTAGTAGTAGTAGTAGTAGTAGTAGTAGTAGTAGTAGTACAGTAGTAGTAGTAATCGTAGGGGACAGGGTAGTAGTAGATGTCTTTTGGAAGCTGCTCGGAGGCCTCTTGGGGCGTCTTCGGCGCCTCTTGGCGCATCTTGGGGACCTCTTGGGGGTATCTGTGGAACCTCCTGGAGGCGTCGTGGTGCCTCCTGGGGATCTCTTGTGGGCCATCTGGGGACCTCTTGGGGCCATATGGTGGACCTCTGGGGGCCCTCTTGGGGGGCTTGTATGAGCGCTGACCCTCCTCCTGGTATGACTCGTTCGGGCTCCTCGTGGTGTGAGTCGTTCGAGGCGCGCGTCGTGGTGTGAGTCGTTCGGGCTCCTCGTGGTGTGAATGGGTCGGGCGCCTCGTCCTGGTAGGAGTCGTTCGGGGTCCTCCTTCTGGCGTGAGTCGTTCGGGTTCTTCGTGATATGAGTCGTTCGGGCCCCTCGTCCTGGTGTGAGTCGTTAGGGCTCCTCGTGGGGCCTCTTGGGGGCCTCTTGGGGGCCTCTTGGGGCCTCTTGGAGACCTCTTGGGGGCCTCTTGGGGGCCTCTTCGGGGCCTCTTGGGGCCTCTTGGGGGCCTCTTGGGGGCCTCTTGGAGGCCTGTTGGGGGGCTCTTGGGGGCCTCTTGGAGGCCTCTTGGGGGCCTCTTGGAGGCCTCTTGGGAGCCTCCTGGGGGCATCTTGGAGCCTCTTGGGGGCCTCTTGCGACCTCGGCAGAAGCGCAAATGAGCGCTACCCCCAAGAAGGAGAAAATGAGCCCAAAACCTTAGTAACATCAATGTTTTTCAAAAGAAGGAAGGGGAGCGCTGCCCCCTCAGAAGGCCAAACTGGGGCCGAAACCCAAGTAAAATCAATGATTTTGGCTACACAGAAGAGGAGAGGGACCTAAGAGCGTCCCCCCGTCGGGGCCAGAATCCTCGTGAGGGTCGTCGTTTTTTGGCCCTCCCAGGCGTCGAAGAAGACCCCCCTGGCCACCCGCGGGACTCCCTCTCCAGGCCCAGGGGGAGGGGGTAGGGGGAGGGGTAAACCCTTCCCCGAAGGGGAAGAAGGGGGGTTGGGGGGTTGAGGACAGAGAAAGCTCGCTAAACCACTCACGCCCAAAGGGCTGGTGGGACTATTGGCAGTGGGGGGGAAAACGAAAATCCAGAAACTATGGGAAAGTATAAGGAATCGTGCCATTCGTGTGTATTTCTTTCTGTGTCCCAGGGCCCCTTCATGAGGAGCCTCTCAGAGAAGGGCGGGGGCCTTCGGAGCCTTCTGGGGAGGCCCGCCCCCTCTCACTTCCCCCCCGGGCTCGCCGTCGACGACCCCCGATCGCCCACTCATCGCCAATCCGCGCCTAATGGCACACCCCCCCAGGACCGCGCGCCTTTGCGCTCGGGGGCCTGCACCGCCGACCGAGCCAGCGGGGTCCCGCCAGTTCCGAGCCGAGGCTTCTCCCCCTTGTCAGAGCCCCGCTTTCGCTACCAGGAAAAACCAAGTCATACCACGCGCCTCCCTGGTCAAGCGACCTGACCAGTACATGCCGTGATTTGGCATCGCTTGGTATCTCTTGGAAGCGAGGGTGGTCAAAAGCGAGGTAGGTTTGTTTTCCCCCTACCTTTGCCCAGCCCCCCCTCGCAGGAAGGGGAAGGAGATGGTGAGGATCCGGCCCGCGTCGGGCTCGGATCTGCCGGAGCTCGGGCTGGCCGCGTCGCTTCTGCCGGTTCTTCGGATGCAGCTCCTGGGAGGTCAAATTCCGTTTTTGCCCTGGGCCGAAATCGGGGTGAATCCGGTCTGATCCGGCCCAATCCCGCTTATAATCCCGCTCAGTCCGGCTTGGATGTTTGCGCCCTCCAGGTTTGGGCCCGACGACTCCAGGCTAACGGTTCCAGGGCGTGTTGACGGCCCAGTTTTCCCGAGGTGTTCGCAGCGGGAGTGCGCGCCAAATCTCAGGCTGTGCCCCGCCAGGTGCCCGACGCCCCCTCCGGGCAGATTCGACCCCCCCCCCCCAGCTGGAGTCCCATGTCTTTGTTGGACTGCAGTTAGGAGGGGAGAACACACAGACACAAGTAATCGTCGCTCCCCGGAAAAATACAGGAAAATATGGAGGGGGGGGGAGGCAGAAACCCAGAAAATATAGAAAATATGGGGGATCCTGTTACTTGTATGTATTTATTTGTGTGTCCCAGGGCCCCTTCATGCAGGGGGATGGATGAGGAGGGCGAGCAGGAGGACCAGAGGTGGATCGACCTCCTACCCTGACACGTCGATTAGCGAATTGGCCGTTTTCGGTTCGCGAGAGGGCGTTGGGGCCGTCATTTTTGCGGGTCCAGGTCCGTCGGTTTCGGTCCCAAGGCGTTTTCAATAAAGGGTGGTTTACTAAAGGGAGGTTTGTCCACCGCCGAGAGGAGGGGGGAGGGGAGGTGGAGGAGGGGGATGTGGAGGAGAAGGAGGAGGAGGGAAAGGACGGATGATAATTGACGATGGGTGCTGATTGGTGATGGGGTGACGGGTGACAGATGATGGATAATGGCGAGGAGTGATGCGGGTGATGATGAGGATGGTGATGATTATGAAAAGGAGAAGGAGGCGAAGGAGGAGGAGGAGGAGGAGGAGGAGGGATATGGGGATTGATGATGAGGAGAGGATGCGAGGATAAGGAGGCACAGACGGAGGGATATCGGAATGGATGAGGATTCGGAGCGCAAGGAGGGAGGTTTATACCGAGGTGGAGGCCGCGGATGATGGGGGGAGGAGGGGGAGGGGAGGGGCAGGATGAGTAGGGGCTCGGGGAGGAGGCGAAGGAGGAGGAGGATGAGGAGGAGGAGGAGGAGGAGGAGGAGGAGGAGGCGGGCTAGGAAGAGGCGGAGTAGGGGGACGAGTCGGAGGAGGAGAAGGGGGAGAGGGAGACGGAGGAGGAAGGGGAGAAGATGAGACGTTGCACGAGGAGGAGGAATAGGAAGAAGTGTAGGCGGAAGATGAGGAGGAGGAGAAGGAGGAGGGAGAGGAGGAAGAGAAAGTGGAGGATGGAGGAGGACGGAGGAGGATGGAGGAGGAGACGGAGAGCGGCGCGAAGGGGCGCAGCTCCGCCCCGGACAGGCCTGCCGCCTCTTCTGTCCCCTATCGGCCCGCGCGAGCTGTCCGCCAATGGCCTCGCGCTTCGGGCCTCGCCGCCCCCGGAGGAGTTGCTTGCAGTCGGGCCGCTGAAGAAGGAGCCCTTTTCGTTTGGGAGGGGCGCAGTGTTCCTTGCTTGTTTTGCAGGTTGGCTCAGCAGCTCCTCAGGCCTTCTGTGGGGAATCAAGTTCCACTTGTGGAGAAAGAGGGGCCTCGCTCCTTGTTTCGGGTTCCTTGTGACAGCTCGACTGCAAGGGCTCCGGTGGCGCTCCAGGGCCGCCACCTGGAAGCTCCTCTTCTCGTGCCAGCCGGGCCCCGCCGACGCGTGTGGGCACCTGTGGCGCTCCTGCCACCAAGAAGCGGCCAGCGCCTCCGAATTGGCTCGCTCGCGTGGCGAAAGACTCACATCTTGCTCCTCTGCATGGCCTTCTCAGGCCTCTGCAGGGCGTTCTGCGCATGAGCGAGCGCCCGAAGAGTTTCGTTTTCGTACCATTCGCCCTCCTCTTGCATCTTCTCGATCTTCCTTTCGAGCTGCTCGTCTTCGATGATCCTCCTTGGCCTCCTGACGTGCCTGCTGCAGCTTCACGTTCCAGCACTTCGTGAGCATCACGACATCCTCGGCGTGCTGCGCCTCCACCATTTCCTGGAAGAGATCCTCCTTGAGCTGATGGAGCTTCCTGTCGATGTTCGCCTTCGCAGGCGGCACCTCCGCACGCGGCTTCGCCCCCGTCTTCTCGATCGCGTCGGAGACCTCGACCTGGTTCATTTCCGTTTTTTTCTCGGTGCCTTGGAACTTCTTTTTCGGGGATTCGAGCTGCTTCACTTCCGCGAACGTCTTGGTTGCTGGTGCGCCTTCGGCCCGATCGGCACCTGCACCACACCAGCCTGCTCAACGCCCTGGTTGCCATGCTCCAGTACATGGTCAGTTCGTCGACCATCTCGCCACCTGGCTGCAGGATCTTTGCGGTCTTCTCGGTCTCCTGGCGACCAAGCTTCAGCACCTCTACGTACTTGTCGATGGACGGTGCCAGGGAAACTCCCTCTGTCATATCATCGTGGTCTGTGACAGCACCTGCGGGGTCTCGACGGTCGTCTCGTTGGCGTACTCATCTCGCTCCTGGGTGCCAGCCGATGGCGAGCCACCTCGCAAGGCTCTCCTCGAACTCTGCCCGCAGGATCTTCAAGACAGCCTCGCTCTCCAGGTGGCCGACCAGCGGGATCCCTCCGATCCTGATGCATTCAACCTGGGGCGTCTCGACAATCTTCGCGAAATTCTGGACTCCTACCTGCGGAACCTCGACGGTCTTCGGGCCCTCGGTTGTACTCGGCCTCCTGGGTGCCAGCCTTTTTCGCGGTCTTCTTGCTATCCGTTTTTGCCAGGCTTCCGCCCACAGCTCTCCGCCAAGTTCGTCGGCGATGTCGGCAGCCGCTGCCTCCTCCGTGCTGCCCTCCTTGGACTCGGGAGGAGGAGGAGGAGGAGGAGGAGGAGCAGGAGGAGGAAGAGGAGGAGGAGGAGGAGGAGGAGGAGGAGGAGGAGGACGAATGGGTAGGAGGAGGAGGAGGGATGAGGAGGAGGACGAGGGGGATGAGAGGACGAGGAGGTTGGGGGCCGCCCCGCCGCCCAGGGCACGGCCTCCGTGCTCGCCGGGGCGCCCTGCTTCGACCCGCCGCGCCTGGACCACCTCGCGCGGAGGCCCGCGCGCGCGGGCGTTGCCGGGGCAGCCCGGAGGGCGTCGAGGAGACCCCGCGAGGCCCCCAAGATTCAAGCAGTGGCGAAGCGTCCTTGCTCGCCTATAGCCCTGTCAAACAATGTTCTAAGAACCTTTCGTGGTTCCCACGAGATGTTCTTAGAACATGTCTAGTTGATATTGTCCTGTTTAAACACATCGGGCTTCTGTTCTAAGAACAGTGTTTCTGTTCTTCGAACATTTTTGGGTTCTACGAACATGTCGTTCTCGGACTATAGGAATGCCGGGACGGTCGGTCCCTGCTCAAAAGATCCGAAGAAGAGCAATCATCATCCACAGCTGCGCAGATACCGCTACGGAGGAATTCCTCTTGCGCCGACGCGGCAGCGACCCCGCCACGGGCGCTCGCGGTCGGACGCCGCCACCCGGCCCAGAACCTGCCGACGTGGAACGACCCCCGCGGTGTCAGAAGCCAGCGCCGTGGTCGTCACGACACGAATTTGCTGCACCTTGTCCTTGTCGCCACGGCTAGATTCGCCCCGGAATTCTCGTCAGGACGCACTCGTTGAGAGCTCCAGGGAGCAGCGGTATTGATACGTTTCTGCCGTTTCCCCTACAATATCAAGGAGCCCCCGAGACGGCCCCACGACGCTCTCGAGAGACCCCCAAGCGCCCCTTAGGAGGTTCCGGCGGGCGGGAAGGAGGAGGGGAAGTCTTTCGGCGCGGGGAAAGGAAGAAGACCCAGAGGCCAGGTTCGGCGGCGTGCAAGATGGGGTGGTGGCCTTCTAACAGGGCGGGGAGATCGTTTTAGAAGGCGGGGCTGCTCCTCCCTCCTCCCTCCTCCCTCCTCCCTCGTCCTCCTCCTCCTCCTCCTCCTCCTTGGAAGTTCTCGTGTCGTTGTGAGGAGGCTCCCGTCTTCAGTTCCCCCCCCCGCGTCTTCTCAGGACGGGGCGCTTCGCTCGAGCCATCCCCCCTGTACGTGCCGCCAAGTCGAGGAGGGGACGATGGCGGGGGCTGCGTGCTCGTGGGTAACATCACGGCTTGGCCCGCGAAATCATTCCAATACATCTCTCTTTTGTTCCCTCCACGTCTGCGCACATAGGTCGGACCATGATGCAAACCAGCGCGTGCATTGTGCGCGTACGCTGCGCACTCGGATGATCGCAGAAGAACGCGCAGTCCAGGCCGCCCCTGTCGGCTATTGCCCGCCGCCGCCAACAGCGTCGCCGCTTCGCCACCCAGTGCAGGAGCTCGATGATGTTGCATTTCGGTATCGTTTACGCGCGCATCTCTTTATGGCGATCACAATGCCGAATCTCACTATTCGAAGGCTGAATTATTTTTCACGTTTCAAAGTCTGTGCGCGCAAAATCGGTCACACATGCAACACCGTTTCCAGAAGCCTCCAGATGTTCCGCCTGGCCAAGGAGCAGCTTCGGTTATTCCTGGGTGTTCTGGCCCCGTTCCTTCAGGCCGGTGTGGGTGACTGTGGTTGGGAGAGTTTTGCCGCTCGTGCCTCCCGCCGTGGGGCCCAGCGTATTCAACGCTTTCGTCGCACGGTAGCGCGCAATTGCTGCCAGTCTGCTCTGACAATCTATCTAGTTCGAGTGTGCTCGAGTTTGGCCCGGCACCGTTTCGCCGCCGCCGCCTCCTCCTCCTCCCCCTCCCCTTTTTCCTCCTCCTCCTCCTCTCTCATGTTTCATCCTGTCTCGTCCTTCCTCATGATTCCCTCTTCCCATTTACTGTTCGAGCATGAGGTTTGGGTTCGAACCGCTGGCAGCAGTCTCCTCCGTCCTCTTCATCCTCCCGTCCCCTTTGTATGCGCGCGGTTGTAGCAGTTCCCTCTCCGCCTCATGCTGCGAGGTTAGTCAATGTGCCAGTGTGGCTTCTCATCGGGCGGAACGACTCGCTGTGCTCTTTCGAGGAGCACGCGGGGGGGGGGGGGGACGGAGGATTTTGAAAGGGGGGCATGCGGTGTGAGGGAGTTGGTGCATTTGGAGACCAAGTTGTTACACGTGTGGAGAGGGGCTGCGCGCTGCAACCGTGTGCCAGAAGCAGTTGGCGGAGGAGGAGGAGGAGGAGGAGGAGGAGGACGAGGAGGAGGAGGACGAGGAGGAGGAGGACGAGGAGGAGGAGGAGGGAGGAGGAGAGAGAGGGGCAGCCTGTTGTGGAGGAAAAGGAGGAGAAGAAGAGGAGGAGGATGCGGAGGGAAGAGGAGGAGGAAGGGACGGGAGGGTGAGGAGGGGGAGGGAAAGGATGGATCGGGGGGGGGAGGCGCTCAGGGAGGGAGGGAGGAGGAGGAGGGAGGGGTAGAGCAGGAGGGACGAGGAGTAATTGTTGACGCTTCGCGCATCCCCACTAGACTGCCTACTCGCGGCCGGACTAGTGTCTGGATGGCTTTCGACCCGCCTCGCGAGCCTGTTGACCAACAGTATCCCCACCAGAGCCACTTCGCGCCATGTTGGCCCCGCCGAGTCTCTGTCTTTCCCTCCCTTCTCCCTCCTCACTCCCTCCTCCCCCTCCTCCCCCTCCTCTCCCTCCTCCTCCTCCTCCTCCTCCTCCCTCCCTCCCCTCCTCCTCCTCCTCCTCCTCCTCCTCCTCCTCCTCCTCCTCCTCCTCCTCCTCCCCCTCCTCCCCTGGGCGTTCGCTCGTTGCTCTGTCTTTCCCCTTCGCAGGGGGGCACGGCCTGCCCCCTGCCTGCCGGCGTCCGGCTCGCGGCGTCGCGCGCCCGCGGGCCCAGAAGGGTCCCCGCCGGCCCGCCCAGAAGCGATGCCCAGGGGAGCTGAGGTCATCAAGGATGGGGGCCAGGAGGAGGAGGGCGGAGGAGGGGAAGAGGGAGGAGGAGGAGGAGGAGGAGGAGGAGGAGGAGGAGGAGGAGGAGGAGGAGGAGGAGGAGGAGGGGGATGAGGAGGAGGAGGAGGAGTCCGTAGCCATTTTGGCTCAAGGCTAAACGTTGTGAAGGGCTATAGACGCCCGAGAACCAGCGATTAGCCTTGGCACTCCGTGGCCACTCTCGAGGCCGACAGGAGGCCGAGGCTTTTCTGGCGAACCCACGGCGCGCTGCCCGAGCCGCCGTGGGCCTTTTGCGAGGTCCTTCCGTACTGCGACGCTGCGATGGCGCCAGTGTGGACGTGCGGGACCTGTGGCTTCCACAACTTCGGGCACCGAGGCACGTGCAAGCAGGCAGGGTGCAACGGTCGCAACCCCCAAGGCCCCATCCCGCAGGTCCAGTTCTCCTGGGGGAACCCGTGGTGGGGCATTGGTGGACTTGGCGGCGGCGGCAAAGGGGGCAAGGGCGGAGGCGCCTTTTTCCCTGGCGGCGGCGGCGGCAAGGAGTACGGATACAAGGGTAAAGGCGGCGGCGGCGGTGGAGGCGGTGGGGGAGGAGGCAAGGCGCCTCCACCTCCCAAGCGTGAGCTCACGTCCGAGGAGAAGGCCCTGTGGCTCAATCTCTCGGAGGAGCAGTTCGCGCTGGCCTCGCAGTCCATCCCTCGCCACCAGCGTGATTCACTCATGCATCAGCGTGCGCTCCAGAACTACGGCCTCTCTGGGGCCAAGGCTGAGGCCGCGCAGATCAATGCGCTCATCGGGAAGTACAGTCAGCAGATGGTTCACCTTAAGCAGAAGGTGGCGCGCATGCAGTCGAAGGCAGAGGAGGCGGTCAAGGCCGCCATCGTGGCGCAGGAGGAGCTGGACACCGTCCAGCAGCAGCTCGAGGATGCGAAGGCCCGCGGGCTCTCGCTGGGAGCGCAGGGCGGCGTGGGCGAGGCGAAGGCGGCGGCGCCGTCTGTGTCGCTCGCCCAGCCCATGCAGCAGGCGCTCGACGCGTTCGTCGGTGCGCTCCCCGAGGGGGAGGCGGGCGAAGGTTTGCGCAAGGCCTTCGACACGATGCGCGAGACCTTGGAGGCAGCAGTGGCAGCGGCGGAGGCGAAGGAGTCGTCGGCAGCGGCTGCCGCTCCCGCCGCTGGCGGCCCAGCCCCAGGCGGCCCAGCCCCCGCTGGGGGCGGCCAGGCGAGGGCGAGGCGTGAGAAACGTGGAGATGGGGAGAATGCAGCCTTTGCTGAGGGTCGTCGCGCAGCTCGTGCTGATGCTGCTCGTGGCCGAGGCAGTGGAGGCCCCCCAACGGACATCGAGATCGACGAGGGCCAGCAGGACGCGCACATGGAGGGAGCCGGCAATGCCCTCGCTCGAGTGGGAGACGGGCTACGGTCGGAGTTCCATGGAGATGAACGCGCTCAGCAGTGCGTCACATCCGTGCTGGACAAAGTCAAAGAGCAGATGGAGAAGGAGAGAGAGGAGGCTGGCAAGAGGGACAACCGCAGCAGGTCACCGACACGCTCGTGTGGTTCCTGACGGCCTGAGTTGGGATTTTGTCTCAGCTAATGTCACAAGCTGGCCACGGTGCCAGTCGTTTCTAGAGGCGGAATGTCAGTCGAAAGTTTGTTTCCTTCAAGAGACAAAGGTCAAGGTCGGCGATGCCGCTCAGGCTTCGAACACCTTGGCCAAAGTAGGATGGAATGTTCGTTTTGGAACCTGTGATGTGACCCAGTCTGAAGGTTTATCAGCGGGGGTAGGTTTGGCCGTCCGCAAGGGGGTAGGCATGGGCAGCAATCCCTTGGAGCCTCGACCTCATTCCAGGGCCGTCTTGGCTTGGGTCGGGGGCTGCGTCGCGGGAGGTTTTAACGTTGCCAGTGTTTACCTCCCGAGCGGGGACGGTGTAGGGGCCGAGGGCCGCCGCATTCTTTTCCAGGTTGGGGAGTTTCTGTTCTCCATGGGAAAGCCGTTCGTCATTGGCGGCGACTTCAACGCTCTGGAATCTGAGGTGAGGGGCACTGGGTTGCTTGAGAAAATTGACGGGGTCATAATTCTGACTGGCAAGCCTACGTGCAGAGTGGGCAAGGAATGGCGCGATATAGACTTCTTCATTGTGTCGGCGAGCTTAGTGCCCTGTGTTTGGCGCTGCGATCGATTGGAAGGGTCTGAATTGTCTACCCATTACCCCATCAGAATGTCGATCAGGACTTGTACTCACCTTGGCCAGATCAGATGTTTGTGGACGCCCAAGAGGTTCCCTGATCTTCCGATCGGTCCTGCGCCTGCCCCGCCAGCTTGGTGGGAAGGCATTCAGATTCAGGTTGAGCAGCTGGTCCGAGAACCAGCAGTCACGCAAGCTCAGGTCTCGCAGGCTTATGCATCCTTTTGCCGGGCAGCTGAGCTAGAGCTCGCGGAGATGTACCAGTTGGAGCTGTCGGGCTCCAAGGGGAACTTTTTCGGCAGAGGCGACAAGTTTAAGTTCGTGTATAAACCGGCCATTGTCAAGGTTGGCGGGCCACATCCCCTTGGGTCTCCAGTGTCTAGGGCGATGCGCAAGTTCCACACGCGCCTAGAAGAGTTGGGGCACCTCAAGCGTAAGGGATACGTCGACGACGATTTGCAGGTCTGTGAAATCAACCGAAAACTTCAGAAGGCTCCTGAGCTGCTCTGGCACTCTTCTGGCTGGCGGAAGTGGCGTGCTGGTCATTTCAGTTTCAGGGGCTATGGGGCGGCCTCGATCAGGGACGCCTTGTTTGAGTTGAGCAAGCTGATCCAGTCCGAGGAGGCGTCTTGGGTTAGGCATCGTCAAAAGAGGTGGAGATCTTGGGCTTCAGAGGCGGTGTCTAACGGGGGGAGGATGGCTCACAGGTGGGTGAAGGTCCCGAACGAGTGGATCCCAGATGAGCCAGGCCCCGATGGAACCCCAGGAGGCGCGATGGACCAGATTGAGGCACTCGAAAGTGAATGGAAGGGTATTTGGAGGTACGGAGACTTGAAGGAGCCCGAGGCCCTACCTTTGCAGCCTTTACCCATGGATGACCCTCCAGAGCCACCTGAGCCTCAGGAATTACGCCGAGTTCTGGGGAAGTTTAAGAGTCGGACGGCGGTGGGGGCCTGCAGGTGGCCGCCATCACTTTTGAAGTCCTTGTGTGATGACGGGCTTCGTGTATTTGGACTCCTGCTGCACATGTGGGAGAAGTTCGTGTGTCTTCCTGAGCAGATCATGCTGCTCATCCTCCCCTTCCTCCAGAAACCAGAAGGTGGGCGGCGACCGGTAGGTATTTTGCCCACACCTGTTCGTGTTCTTGGGAGGTTGCGTCATCGGGGGGCGGAGAGATGGGAGGAGGCGAACCACAAGGAGTACATGTACGGGGGGAAGGGACGGAGCTGTGAGATGGCGGTGTGGAGGCAAGCGATTAACAACGAGGCGGCTATCGCCAGCAAGTTTTTCAGTGCCTGCACGTTGATTGACCTTGAGAAGGCTTACGAGAGAGTGACGCACCAGCTCCTGCTTCGTTCGTGTCATCGGCATGGCTTTAGCATCAGGCGCATTCGAGTGCTCCTCTTAGTATACGGTGGGCCTCGCAGCATTAAGGTTGGCGAGGCCCTGTCCCTCCCTTTCACAGTCAACAGCAGCATAGTCGCGGGGTGCTCTTTCGCGACGACGCTGTTGAAGATAGTCCTCAAGGATGTGTGCGACGATTTTATGGCTAGATGGCCCCGTCTTGGGCTGGCGCTCATGGTTGACGATTCCACCATTCAAGCTTTGGGGTCCGAGCCATATGTGAAGAAAGCACTGGTGTCGGGGACGTTGCAGTTCTGTCGGGGCTTGGAGGCCTTGGAGATGAAGGTTTCCAGGAAGAAATGCATTTTGGTGGCATCGGACATCAAAGTGGGCAGATCTCTGCAGCATAGTTTGAGAGAGTTCAGTTTCAAGTATGTGCCAGCGGCCAAGAACTTGGGCGTAGACTTTAAGTTGGCCTTCAACAAGGGCAGGCAGGTGACGAACAAACGAATCACCACTGTTCGTGGCCGAGTGCGACGATATCGAGCGTTCCGATTCTCGAAGAAACCGATTCAGCAGGTCTTCCGCGGTGGGGGAACGCCAGCTGCGATGTACGGGGTGGGGGTGGTGGGGATGTCCAACACCTCACTCCAGAAGCAGCGGGCCACGACGGCCGCTGCCCTTTTCGGCCCAGCCAAAGGAAGGTGCAGGGCTGTGCAGTTTTTACTTGCAGAGGTGCCGCAGGTTGACCCGTCGTTCCTGGCGAACGCCTTGCCGCTCATGATGTGGTGCAAGGCCAATTTTTTGCAGTGGTCTTCAGAGGCGCAGATGCAGACGGCCTTTGACAAGGCCAATAAAGAAGCTGCGAGAGGCTGGAGTGGAGTCATCGGCCCCGCTGGGGCGGTGGTACAGACTCTGATTAGGTTGGGTTGGACTGGGACCTCCTGGTGCAGTTGGGTTACTTCGTCGGGGCTTCGTCTGGACTTGCGTAAGTTGGGTCCTCGTACGATCAAGGCCCTCGTAGACGACACCACGGAGCAGCTCAGTTTAAAGAAGGTTAGCGAGTTTTACGACCTGTCTTGGGAGCCTTTCCTGGACCCGATCAGAGGTGTGATTGCCGAGCTGAGAAAGAGAGGGGGCCATCTTGGGATCAGTCCTCTTATCGCTCAGGTTTCTGGAGGCCTCTGGACGCAGAAAGACCTGTTCAAGCAGCGCTGCAGTTTGGACCCGCTCTGCAGGTGGTGCAAGGTCCGTGAAGGGTCCGTGCATCACAGGTTATGGGGCTGCGATGGCTCCTGGTTTTTACGGCGTGATCTTGATCCAGGGGGTAAGTTGCTGAAGCAGGGGATCAACGCCCAGGTAGATCTTAGATGGACGCGAGCGTTGGTGCCCAGTGACCGCGAGTCCATCCCGAAGATTTTGCACGGATCTGATTTTAAGTGGGCCCATCCTCCTCACCGTGATGGAACCCTGGGGCCATATGTCTGTGTCGATGGGTCTGGATATGACAATGACTACAGATGGTTGGTCCGAGCAGGATGGGCAGCGGTACCCGTTTCTTCTACGCTGGAGGTGGAGGCCATAGCGTATGGCCCGTCGCCGCTTCCAGTTCAGGACGTTCCAAGTTCAGAGCTCTACGCCTTTTTTATGGCCCTGTCGCTCATGGGCCCAACGATCACGATTTGCACGGATTGTCAGATGGTCGTCGACGGGTGGGAGGCTGGGGAGGCAGGCACTACTCATCCAAACAAGGCGTATGCGGAACTCTGGAGGCAGATTTGGAGGAGAGTCGAGGATGTTGGGAGAGAGAACGTCCAGGTTGTCAAGATAGTCGCGCACCAGTCGCGGCGTGCGGCATTCAACCATGGAGTACCGCCTCATTTTTTCCATGGGAACAGGCTCGCCGACGAGTGGGCCAAGACGGGTGCCAAGACGCACCCGATGAATTTCCACGTCCGTGACAGGATAAAGTTCCATCATGATCAAGTGACCCTGTTGGCCAGGTACCTGACTGAGGTGTTGAAGTATGTGCACAGGTTAGGGTACCCCGACGTTGAGGCCATCAAGGAGCGTAGGCAGCGGACCCTTGTTAATTCAGAGGCCCCCCTGCTTGAAATAGTTCCAGACGGTAAGGGTCACAAAATATCACAGGTTCCAGGTGGGTGGGGATGCTGTGTCTGTGGGATCGGGCGGAGTTCGCGCTCTCGGCTGGTGCAGCTGCCGTGCCCTGGGGTCCCCGTGGTCTTCCTGAAAGCTCACGCCACCCACCGCCTCTGGGCCAATGGGCCAGTCTTGTGGTGCTCGGCGTGCGGGGTGTACGCCCAGCAGCAGGTCAAAGATCTGGCTGAGAGGTGTGCTTCTCGCGCCGTTGGCGAATGGAAGAAGAGGTCACTGCGCCTTTTGAAGCAGGGCAAGAACCCGTCCGCGCCGAAGGCGGAGGCGGTCGTGCCCGTGCCCCTCCATCGGTGAGGTTGTGTTTATAGTGCGGGCATCTTGTTGTCACGGGATGCGTCGCTTGGCAGCGCAGAGCGCAGAGGAGGAGGAGGAGGAGGAGGAGGAGGAGGAGGAGGAGGAGGAGGAGGAGGAGGCGGAGTAGGCGGATGAGGACGAGGAGAAGGAGAGGGAGGAGGAGGAGGGAGATGAGGAAAAGAGCGAGCAGAAGAGCCAGAATCCTCTTGAATGCGATGCCTCTCGGAGACTCTTCGGATGTCTCTTGGGAGCGGTCTGGAGGCCTCTGGGGGCGTCTAGGGGGCCTCCTGGCGGGCCCAGGGGCTTTTTTGAGCGTTCTGGGTGCCTCGAAGGTCCTCTTGAGGCCTCTTGGGGGCCTCGTGGGAGCCTATTGGGAGCCTCTTGGAGGCTTTTCGGGCGCCTCTTGGGGCTGCCTGGGCGTCTTTTAGGGCCCCCTTGGGCCGCTCTTGGGAGCTGTAGGAGCGCTCTTGGGGCCATCTTGGAGGACATCGATCAAACAAGAGGGGAGCTCCAATTAGCCTCCCCCCTCGGGGGCACCAAAAATTGCATCCTGGACCTCTCTTGGACGCTCTTGGGGTTGTCTTGGGGCTCTCTTGAGCCTCTCATGGGGCTCTCTTGGGCTATTTTGGAGCCATCTTGAGGCCTCGAATGGCCATCGGAAGCGAAAAAGCGAGAAAGCCAACATCATTGACCGTCTTCAGGTTTTTGAAGGATTTTGAATTCTCTGGGGCCTCCTTGGAGGTCTCGGAGGCCTCTTGGAGCTGCCTTGGAACGTTTTGGGTGCCTCTTCGAGCTTCTTGGGAGCCATCGTGAGGCATCGTGCGCTATCTTGGGCCAACTTGGAGCTCATCTTGGACTCTCAGGGGCCCTGTTGGAGCCGTCTTGGACCATCTTGGATGCTCCAACGCCTCGCCGCCCCCCCGTCCAGGTCCAGGGGGGGGGTTAGGGAGAGGGGTCAAGCTACCCACCCGCCCGCAAGCCGTCTAGCTCACTCCCACACGCCCTCCCAACACATAAGCAACCCCTGAGCCTGAGCATGTTCAGCGGTTGCCTTTGGATGGACAGCTACTGGGAACCAAAGCCGACCCCAGGTGCGCGACACTTGGGCGAGGCGTGCCACGAGTGCCAGGGGCGCCACGCGCGCCAGGCACCCCTGGGGCCCGAGCGTGCCAGACACGCCTGGTGCGCCAGAAGCGCCACGTGCTCCGAGTACGCCAGGTGTGCCGCACACTCCAGCCGCGCCAGGTGCGCCACGTTCGGGGCACGTGCAGAGTGCGTCAGGTGCGCCTGCGCACGTGGCATCGGGAAACATGGCGGCCCCCACCATCCTTGTCGAAACCCAATGCCCATCATTGTGTCTTGTGGGCCTGCGCACAGCAGGCCTCGCGCCACCACCCCCGCCGTCACTTGCAAAAACCTCTTGACAGTGATCGCAGGGTGGCCGCGCATGATCCAGATTTAGCCGCGATGTGCATGTTGTATTGTTTTGTTTCAGGGATGCTAGCCCTTCACACAGCAGGGCATATGCTGACACCCCCGCCGTCCCTGTCAAAAACAATGCAAAGTGCTCGCGGGCCTCACGAACATGACTCAAGATGTTTGTGATAGGGATGGATGTGTTTGTTGATAGGGATGGATGAGGGGGGGCGTTTCGGGTTGGCCGCGCATGCTCCAAATGTAGAGGCAGAGTGCGTTTTGTATTGTTTGGGACAGTGATGGTGGGAGGGGTGGCCCTCATGGGGTTGGCATGGTTCTGGGTTGGCCGCCGGCCGTGTGGGGAGGGGGTGTATATTAATGGGGAACAGTGGTAAACCCTTCCCCGAAGGGGAAGAGGAGGGGGTTGGAAGAGGAGCCTCCCTAGACCACCTACGCCCAGAGGGCTGGTCGGATTCGGAGGAGGGAGGAGGAGGGGGAGGAGGGGGGCAGGGCTCTTGAGGAGCACGAGTTGTTTGATGCGTTTATCATCCCCCCAGTGCTACCCTACATCAGTCCGTGGCCCCCATTTGAATCGACAAGAAGATGGACGGCAAGGCGGGGCCCTTTTCGACTCGATCGACCAGGTTCGGTATCGATTTGGGTCGCCTCATTCGATCCGATCTGGTACTCCGACGACCGGATGCGTCTTCGTCTTGATGCTCGCATGGCGTTGTTGTGCGCTTTGGTGCGGCCGATTCCATTCGATTCCGACTCCGTGCCGATGCGGCCTGACTCGATGCGGTTTTCCGATCCGATCCAATTTCTCAATTCGATGTTTTTCAAGAGGCTTACGCCATCTCGCCGGCCCCCAGAGGAAAAAGGAAGGCCACGGGTGACCACCACCACCATAAGTTGGAGGGGGAGGGGGTCCTCCTCCTCCTCCTCCTCCTCCTCCTCCTCCTCCTCCTCCTGCTCCTTCCTGCTCCTCCTCCTCCTCCTCCTCCTCCTCCGCCTCCGCCTTCTTGGGCGAATTGTCAGTCGAGTTGCTCCTCTTGGGTCTCTCCTGGGGCCCTGGCCCTCGTGGACCTTCTGGGGCGACTCCTGGGCTGTCCTGGGGCCCTCTTGGGACCGCTTCGGGGCCCTTTTTTGGGGGCTTCTTGGGCCGTCTTAGAGCGATCTTGGATCGGGCCGGACGAACAGGGGGGGATAGGGAAAGGGGGGGTTACGAAACCTGCTGCGTGCAGCTGGTTTCGGCCCCGCCGCCGGGCCCATTCCTCGATACTTGGGCGCCTCCCGGCGCCGGGAGGCGCTGGGAAAATCAGCTACGTGAGCTGACTCTCAAACCCCCCCTTTGTTATCCCCCCCTTTCGCCTGGCCTGATTGGAGGTCTCCTGAGCAGTCTTGCATGTTGTTGAGACCGAAGAGGATCGATTGAAACCATCTAGGTTGGTTTTCCCAGAAAGGGCATAAGCCCAGAGTTCTCTTTTAGTTGGTTTATCTCCGGGTTTGACTTGAGGTGGGCCGGCGAATTTCTTTTGCGATAACTATCGAGGTCTAGGTGGGCCGGCGAATTAACATTTGAGAATGTCTCGAGCGAAACGCTTGTTTTTCAGAATTTGTTAAGGCTGTCTCGAGCGAAATGCTTGTTTTGTGTTATAGATTGTCCTCTCCTGGGGACCAGAATTCAGAGGATCTCTCAAGTGAAATGCTTGTTTTCACGTGTCCAGCTCTTGAGGATGTCTCGAGCGAGACGCTTGATTTCAAGCCTCCAGGTTGCCCCGACAGATGTCTAGCATGAGGATTTGCTGAGGATGTCTCGAACCAGGGCTTGTTTTCACGTGTCCAGGTCGCCCAAGCGGATGTCTAGCATGAGGATGTGTCGAGGAAGTCTCGATCGAGATGCTTGTTTGCACGTGTCCAGGTTGCCCAGGCGGATGTCTAGCATGAGGATGTGCTGAGAACGTCTTGAACGAAACGTGTGTTTTCACGTGTCCAGGTCGCCCAGGCACAGCACAACCGTCGGCACGGTACATCAATATCGATACTAGCATTGCAGCCTGGCATGTTGCCTGGCACGTTCCGTGGAGCGTCCCGTGGCGAGTCTCCCTGGCACGTCGCGCGGTGCGCGTCCATTGGCACGTTCCATAGCGCGTCCCCTTGGCACGTCCCGCGGTGCGTGCCCATGGCACGTCCCCTGGCATGTCGCCTGGCGCTTCCCTTGGGACGTTGCGGCGCGTCCTCCTGGCATGTCCCCCTGTCGAGTAGTTTTGGGGCAGCTACCATCTGCTCAGGCAGCTCGAGCTTAAGACCCAGATCAGTTCGGTCAGGACTCTGATGCAAAGAGGACTCGATCCACAACGCTATATATAGAGAGAGAGAGAGCACACTCGCGGCATGGCACATCGCAGTTCAGCACGGCCCAGCACAGCACAGCCCTCGGCACTGTACATCAAGATCGATACACTCAACATTGCACTTTGGCACGTTCCTTGGAGCGTCCCGTGGCGAGTCCCCCTGGCACGTCGCGCGGCGCGTCCCCTGGCACGTCCCGCGGCACGTCCATTGGCACGTTCCGTAGCGCGTCCCGTTGGCACGTGCAGCGGTGCGTGCCCATGGCACGTCCCTTGGCACGTCGCCTGGCGCGTCCCTTGGGACGTTCCGCGGCGCGTCCTCCTGGCATGTCTCCTCTGTCGAATAGTTCTGGGGCAGCTACCATCTGCTCAGGCAGCTCGAGCTTAAGATCCAGATCCGTTCGGTCAGGACTCGGATACCAGGGAGGACTTGATCCACAACGCTATATAGAGCACAATCGCGGCATGGCACATCGCAGTTCAGCACAGCGTAGCACAGTACAGCCCTCGGCACTGTACACCAAGATCGATATATTCAGCATTGTATTTGCCCGTCGCCCAATCAGGTGTCTTTGAAACGTTGCCATGCCTATTCCTTTCCGGGTTCGTGGGTCGATCATGTTGAGCTCTTCGCCGTGTTGTAGTTCGGTTTGAGCCAGCTCAGATGGCATCTTGGTCATCTTGGAGGCCCTGGAGTGTAGATGTGGAGGATCCAGAGGCCCTGGGGGTGCGTTTAGGAGCCCAGGGACCCCACCCTCTTAAACGCGATTCTGGATTCTGGGGGAGGGGTAAAGCGGGAGGGGGACAGCCACATGTCTCTCACGCTTTGTCACCCCCTTGCAAGGGGTTGGTTTCAGCGTAGCTCCGCGACAGGTGTCTTTTCACCATCAGCGTGGTGGAGGAGGAGGAGGAGGACGAGCGCCAGGAGGACGAGGAGGGGGAGGTGGAGAGGCAGGGTGTGTCTCAGTTTGGCCTTCCATGGTGGGAACCACTTCAGGCCAATGTCGCGTTCATGAATGTTATTCCCAATTAAGTGAGACGCATGCCTTGATAAGGGCCTGTAGCATTTCAGCAGATTTTAACTTCGACAGGAGGTGGCCTCGCTGGCGTTGAAGATGCGCGACTTAGACGCGAAGTGCGTTCATGCATTCGTCTTGTTGCCTTTTCCTGATGCTCCATCTGATTGTCCCTGTCGTGTGAGGACTAGCTCGACCATGCGGTATCATCTCATTTCCTCTCAAGTCTTGCCATGTTTGCTCGCGGTGATTTTGCGACTGTCCGAAAGTTCATCACCGTCCGTGCCCATTCCTTGCGTCTTCCTCCAGCCGTGCGCCCGACAGCAGCGGCGGCCACGATGTCGCGGGGCGGGCTTGCCAACCGTTCCATCAGGGGCGAAGAACCGGTGGCCCCAGCCACAGACCGGAAGATTGTGGGAGCCAGGTCGCAAGTCGATGTTTCCCGAAAGCTTAACAACCCCAGGACCCCTGACGAGGGAAACCGAAACAAGTCCCCGGAGCGACAAATGTGTAGCGTATGACACGATGTACTGTTATAGTATGTAGTGGTCGGGCTGGCGTGACGTCCTGACGCCTTCGACGTTTGGTATGTTTTCTAATCGGTCGTTGCTGCTACTGTCTGTTTCTGTGGCCAGCCTGGGCTTGGCGCGCATGTCGTAATTCGACTCTATCAGGCTGTGTTCGTCTCTGTTCTGTTCTATGTGCATATGTTTGCTTCTGTTCGGCTCTCGACGGGGCGGCGTGACGTCGTGACGCCTGCTGCTCTTGATATGTCGTCTGACCATCGTTACCGCGCCTGCTTTTTCCTGTGGCCAGGTGCAGATGCTGCGTTTGACAGTGCGCCCCGAATCTGCCGCTGCTGTACCAAGCAATGATAAACCACGCGATGGCCGAGACAACATCTATTCTGCTATGCGTAGTATGGTATGTTGTGTTGTCGACGGGACGGCGTAACAACGTGACGCTTGTCACGTTAGATACGTCGTCCAAGCGGTCGTTGCTGCGCCTGGTTGTACCTGTGGCCAGGCTGACCTCGGCGCGCAGGTCGCGTTGGACTATGTTATGGCAGGGCCTGTTATGTCATGGAGTTCCTTTCGCCCTCCTTCTCCTTCTCCTTTCGCCTTCCTGGAGTTCCTTTCGCCCATTCCCGCCCTTTCGCCCTCCTCCTCCTCCTCCTCCTGTCCCTCTTTTTCCTCACAGGTGGAGCCGATACGTTTCAAGGAGATTTCGTATCGCAGCGGACTGTTTCACTTCAGGCGTACGTCTAATATTTGCCTTGCGGGGGGGGGGGGGAAATATGTCATGGAGCTCCTCTTCAATGTTGTGTTTATCTTCTGTGAATGTATGCTGTGTTGTGCTCCCGTCTGTCACTGTCTGATTCCTTATGATATGACATGCTCTGCCCTTTGGCACCATGCTATGTCACGGTACGTATGCATTGTCAGGTTAGGCGGTATGCCGTGTAATGCAATTTCGCGTGATGCTGCTTCGGGTATCTTCAGTTCGTTAAAGTATGTTAGGATGTGTGCTGTAGTTGTATGCCTCTTCGATGAATAATTCGCCAATCGTGATGCATCTGAATCGTTGACGCAGGGGTGGCACCAGTACAATTCTGCAATGCTGTGCTGGTGACGGTGCGCTCGATTCCTTATATTATTCTGTTTTGCTAGTCGAGCCCTAGTTTGAGGGCTCGTTCCTGGGGGCCCCGCCCGCGCTTATTTGCATGACATTCAAATCACGGGTGGGTCCGCTCACCCTCGAAGTGCTGAAAACATATTATGTTATGTTGTGTTGTCGTATCCTGTATTCGACGGGCCGGCGAGACGCCAAGACGCCTGTCACGATCGATTAAGGCGTCCGATCGTTCGTTGCTGCGCCCGTCGGCTCCTGCGGCCAGCCCGACCTCGGGGCGCACGGCGCGTTTGCTTTCCCGGGAGGGGAAAAAACATGCAGGCACAATGAATCGTCGATTCCCCAGGAAATATGGGAAAATATGGGAAGTGGGAAGGAGGACAAAAAACCACAAAATTATGGGAAACATGGGGAATTGTGTCATGCGTGTGTATGTTTTTTTGCTTCCTGGGTCCCCTTAAGTTTTGTAGTGCTGTATATCGTGCTGATATATCCCATATTCACATATTCTTCTCTTCAGTGGAAGTATGTTTTGCGATATTCATTTCTGTTACACTACGATTTGATATTTCATGCTATGCATTGCTACGTGGCACCGTGTCATGGCCTGATGTGTCCTGTCAGGTTATGCTATGTTGTGTTATGTGTGCGGTGCTGTTTACATTATGTCGTGTTATGATCATGCTGTTATGTTATGAATAGTTATTTCAAGACACCCCCATGCAACGCAATACGTTCTATGATATTGCAGCACACCCGTTGCAGCCATTGCGTCGTTATGTTAAATGATGCTCGGTGCCGCACTATGTTATGCTCTGCTCCGTCATGGCATGCTATGTTCTGGTCGGTTAGGTGTTTTTATGCTGTGTTATGTTATATTGTGATTCCGCGCGTTGTCATGATATGATGTGTCATGGTGTGGGCTGCTGCTGTGGTATGTTATGGTTTGCCATGGCGTAGTATGGTATGCACTGATCCGTTCTGATATGATTTTTTCTTTTTAAGATGTTCTACTAACGCAGGCCGAACGATGTTCCTTTTGAGCCCCACACGTCGGAAACGACGCGCCGATCCCCTCTGTTCTCCTCCTATCTCTTCTTGCCTCTTCCCTCATTCCTCTCTTCATCCTGGGAAGACCCCCCTCCCCCGTAGAATCATAACATTGGTCTGCCGATCCACAGCTCCGTGGATAGCATGATGCTTCACTTGCGGTGCTCCGCGGATCCCATTTCCCCTGGGTCCCGGATGTTAATTATTATTATCCGTAAGGGCTTCGCCCCCTGCCGCCGGCCCCCTCTCTCGGAAAATGGGCCATGGAAGAGCTAAGTCATGAGGCCTTGGCGCTGTCGTGAAGCCGTATCGAAACTTCATGCGAAGCCGATTCGCAATCAGCAAAACCAACTGATCACAAGAGGGGTTACCACACCTGGCGATTGGTAAGACGTGTATGGTTTACGGGCTTGGTTACCACACCTTGCGATTAAAGGGCCGAGGGAGTTCTCGCAGTTTGGGTCACCACGTCTTGCGATGGATGTGCGTGAAGGGTGGCACCGAATTTCAGAAATGTAGCAAATCCCATATGTTTTTTGGACCCTGACCCCGTCGCAAATCTCTTGTGTTTTTGGACCCTGACCCCGCGGATCTGCGTGAGGGGTGGCACCGGATTTCAGAAATGTGGCAAATGCTTTGTGTTTTTGGACCCTGACCCCGCGGATCTGCGTGAGGGGTGGCACCGAATTGCAGAAATGTGGCACATCCCCTGTGTTTTTGGACCCTGACCCCGCGGATCTGCGTGAGGGGTGGCACCGAATTGCAGAAATGTGGCAAATCCCTTGTGTTTTTGGACCCTGACCCCGCGGATCTGCGTGAGGGGTGGCACCGAATTTCAGAAATGTGGCAAATCCCCTGTGTTTTTGGACCCTGACCCCGCGGATCTGCGTGAGGGGTGGCACCGAATTTCAGAAATGTGGCAAATCCCCTGTGTTTTTGGACCCTGACCCCGCGGATCTGCGTGAGGGGTGTCGATTTCGAGCCCCCCCAGCAATTCAGACAACGCGCCCAGGAGACGCTAAAAATCTTGTTTGGGCCTCCCCCCCCTCGCGCGGTCAATCAACTAGTTACAGTAACCAGCAAGAAGCAGAACTGTAACACTGGAAACTACAAGCTACAACTGGTACAGGAAACTGCGAACCCGCGCCTACAGCCTGGTGGCCCCACAAAGGGGGCCGGCGGATATAGTTATTCCCGGGAAGTACCGGGAAACAGATGGACCCATAATTTTTCACACACAGGAAATTGGATCCGCGCAACCCGCACCCGAAACGGGATCCACTTGGATCCATTGATGTTCTCAATTTTATTGTCCAAGAGGGAAAACATTCGGCCTGGGGATGTATTGTAGCATTTTCTGTTATGGTATGGTCAGCTATGTGTCGTGTTGTGATATATTGTGTTTATCGGCTCTGTCACAACAGGCGTTGTTATTGTGTTGATGTGTGATGTTATGTTGTGCTACGTGGATTTGTTCTGTCATAGTATGCGATGCCATGTTGTAGTATTGCCATCGTGAGCTCTGTTTTGTGATGCTGCGTTATGCTATGCTCTGTTCTGTCATGCTATGTTCAGTGGTTATCTGCTCTACCATGTTATGTTATGCTCAGTTCTGTCAGGCTCTGTCGTGTTCGTCGCCGGCGCGAGGCGGGCGTTTCGGGGGATACTCGGTGGACCTGAGGATCTGGCGGCCGCGGTGTGCAGGGTGGTCGGGCCGTAAGGTCTGTTCTCCAAGTCAAACGACCCCACCTGTCAGGGGGGAACAACTGTGCCGTCGTTCTGCGAACGGGACCCTCGATCCGCAAAACTCCCTCCCCGAGCGCTCCTCCGTCGGTTCGGTCGGACCCCGATATGCTTGTACCAGGTGCGCGTCGCTTCCGCAGGGGTGACACGCACACCGAGACATCTTGTAGTACACCGTGGCGGGCGATTTCTGGCCAGGCTGCTCGGGTCACGATGCGCTACGAGATGTTAGTGCTATGTGTTCGGGTCAGACGTGCGCCTCCAACATAAGTGCGTAGTACTAGTACAGGGAGTTCAACAAAAGCTAGACGGGCATGCCTGGCTTCAGTCTCGCGGACCTACTCTAAAATCATATTTTGACAATTCGTTATTTTGTTTCATGCCCTGCCGTCATCGCGCGAGTGATAGTCGGAAACTTAGTTTTAAAAATGGTCACGGCTATCTTCCCCCACCTCCTCCTCCTCCTCCTCCTCCTCCTCCTCCTCCTCCCCCTCTCCGCCTCCTCTTCCTTCTCCTCCTCCTCCTCCTCCTCCTCCTCCTCCTCCTCCTCCTCCTCCTCCTCCCCTTCCCTCCTCCATCCTCCATCCTCCATCCTCCTCCTCCTCCTCCTCCTCCTCCTCCTCCTCCTCCTCCTCCTCCTCCTCCTCTCCTCCTCCTCCTCCTCCCCCTGGCTCTTCTGTATGCTTTTATGCACCCCATCGGTGCCTCGCGCCCGAGGTGCGTGCGGCTGACGTCGGCGGGCATCAAGGGCCACAGCGAGGCCTGGCGCGGCGGGGGCTCGCCGCTGCCCCGAGCTCTCGTCCGGGGGCAGCGCCAGGGGGGGGGGGGAGGAGGAGGAGGAGGCTACATCAGGGAGGAGGAGGAGGAGGAGGAGGAGGAGGAGGAGGAGGGAGGAGGAGGAGGAGGAGGAGGAGGAGGAGGAGGAGGAGCAGGAGATGGGCTCAGGCTCAGCGCCCGAGCCTGCCAGGGAATGGGGTCTGGCGCCGAGCGGAGAACTCCGCACGGAGCTCCGAAGGTGCATGCTCATGTCGTGCTCTGTGCTTCGACAGAGGGGGGGGGGGGCGACGTTTCGAGGATCGAGGGGTTTCGCCTGTTGCCGGCGGTGTTCTGGCCTCGGGCTGCCCTCCAGCAGCTGCGCCTCGCCGAGAGCGTGCCGGGGGGAGCCCGGATCGCCCCGAGCGTCCGCCGGGGGCCCGAGTTGTGACCCGAAAGGCAGGATGTCGGGAGCGGAAAGGAGGGGGGTGATGACTAGGGGGGGGTGGATATCATGGCGGGGGCCATGGTATTTTCCCAGATTTCATGGCGCCTCTTCTTACTTCATTACGTCCCTGGCCCCCCCGCTGGGCCGTGCACATGCCGCCGGTCACGATTTGCACCCCCTCCTCTTGGACACCCCCCTCTTGGCCGCTCCCGAAGGATGCGCGGAGGAGGTCCGGAGCAGCGTCAGGGGGGGATGGGCCCCCGGGGGGGGGATGCATCGACCCATGGTCGCCCATTCCTCGCCGACAGGCGCGCGGGACTGCGGATTTGCTATCGGGGGCCTCTCGCCGATCTATCGACGGTGCATCGCCGATTCAAGCTCGATGTCCCCCTCCCATCCCCTCCCCCTGAGCAAGGCGACGCAACACACATCGAGTGAAGCACTCCCATCCAAGGCGGCGGAAGAGGGGGAGGAAGAGGAGAAGGTTCGGTCGATGAGGAGGAGGAGGAGGAGGAGGAGGAGGAGGAGGAGGAGGAGGAAGGTCAGGCTCGGGAGGAGGAGGAGGAGGTGGAGGTGGCGGAGGAAGAGCAGGCTCAAGAGGTGGTCGAGGAGCGGAGATCGGAGAAGACTAGCCGTGTGGACACAGTCTTTCGAAGGTCCTCCCAGATCTTCTGGGTCGGCACTGGGCGCCTCTCGCGGCGGCTTCGGTGCCGCTCCCTGGCGCGCTCCGCGCGCCAGGGAGCGGCGCGCCAGGGAGCGGGGTCTATAGAGTCAACCCGCATAGTAAGGATGGGCAACCTTCCCAAGGGTACCCTTGCATCCTTGCCCCCTCGGTCCATCCTTGGCCAGTTTCGCTGGCTGCGTTGTGCTCGAAAAGCTTCGAAATGGCCCTCCAAGGCCCTTGCATCCTTATCCTGCATCCTTACTATACGGGTTGACTGTAGCGCCGATCCAAGCTTTTTGGTGCGAACCTCCTGAAAGTCTCGTCTTGCAGGCGATCGCAAACATGGATCTAGGGGGCGTGGATTAGCGACGGGTCCCGTTCCCATGGGAAGGCGCGGTTCTCCGCCGCCGAACCAGGCGGCACAGGCCGCATTTTGGGGAGGGCACTTCCCCCGATTTATGGATTTGGCGACCGCGCGCCAGATCCACGGATCGCTAATCCATGTTTGCGCGCCGCCGAGTTTTGGTCCAGCCTTGTCCCCAGGGTGGACGAGAAGGGTTATTGGGAAAGGGGGCTTACGAACCCTGCTGCATGCAGCCAGTTTCTGCCCTCCCGCCCCCGCAGACTTGGAGGAAAGGGGAGGAATGCGAGCGAGGGTTTGCGATGCGTGATCGCTCTTTGCACGTCTGGGCGCTGGGACCCCCTCTTTGCCATGACCCCTCCGTCCGCCCCGAGAAATCCAGCCCACCCTCCGACTTCCCCATGCCCAGCGTCGACCCATGCCCAGCGCCCTCCAAGGTTCGTGTTCATGTGTTTTTGTTTCCTCTTGTGGTTGTAGTCACGTCGAAGGCGGCGCGGGCGATCGCGCGAGCGATCGGGGAGCAGAGTTCACTCTGAAGATTCTCGTGGCCCCTGGGCCCCTCAACTGCGGTATGTGGCCCACGGTGAACAGTCGTTGCCCACGATCACGTCGAAGGCGCCGCAGACGATCGCGCGAGCGATCGGGGAGCTGACACCGCCGGAGCCCTCGCTGCATGGCGCCTCTCGTAGTTGCCGCGACTGCCGTGAGGCAGAGCCTCGGCCCAGGCAGGCGCGGCCGGGAGCTTCCGGGCAGCGGTGCAGTTCGATCGATTCGTTCGGCACGAACGAAATGGGTACGGATAGAATGGGTACAATGCCCAACAGCAGTTCCTGCTCATTTAGAACAGGACTCGCTGTCCGCGCCGCCGCGGCCTGTGTCCATTTGAGACAGAAGGCCGCCTGCCCAACAGCGGCCGCTGTTGGTTTGGGACAACATGTGCAGTTGGGCATTGTACCCATTTGTTCCGTACCCATTTCGGGCGTCCAAATTCTGTTCGTTGCCGGTTCTAGACATTTCCGTGCGAGTCCGATACAGCGAACGGCTTGAATATGGAACACCTTCTTTTCAGAAGGGGCTCGGTCGTCCCTTGGGTTTGCATGCGTTCCGCTGCCTTTTGGCGGCGAACCCCCCTGGTGTTCCTTCAGATTTTGGACGCGCGGGTCGGCCGTTCCTTCGGACTTCGTAGATTTACTTGGAAACAAAGGGGGTTCGTTCCTTTTTCTTCGTTCCTTAGGTCAGGCCCATGGTTGTATTCAGATGATCCGATGCGGGCCGATGCTCGCATGGGCGCTGCTGTGTATTTTGGCGTGACCGATTCAATGTGTGTCCGACTCCGCGCCGATGCGGCCCGATCCGATGCAAGTTCGGATTCGATTTCTCGATTCGATGCTGACTGATCCTGCGACCTGGATGGCCAGCCATCGGGCGATCACCACGTCATTGACGCACGGGAGGGCGCACAGTGCGGAAACAGGTGGAGGAGGGGACGAGGAGGAGAAACAGAAGATGGAAGAGGAGGAGGAAACTCATGATGAGGAGGAGGAGGAGGATCTCTAAGTGCTTGTCGGCACATGACTCTTTGGGCGCCGTATTTGGCGGATGGTCTCGGGCCCTCCGCTTACCCCGCCTCCCGCTCAGGAGGCGGAAGCGGTGAGAGTTCAGCAGAAGGAAGAAAGGTCGATGATGACGATGAGGATGATGATGATGATGATGATGATGATGAAGAGGAGGAGAAACAGGAGGAGGAGTAGGAGGAGTAGGAGGAGGAGGAGGAGGAGGAGGAGGAGGAGGAGGGGGAAGAAAGAGATGGTTTAGCACTTCACTAAAAGCCATGCCGCCAGTCCACTCAGATCTAGCTACCTACTGGCCTGTGGCCACTCGCCAGCTGCCGCCACCCCCCTTCCCCCATCGCCTTCAAATTTTTCACGCTTCGCGTATCCCCACCAGCCCATCTCAAAACAGCAACTCTAGCGAAGCATGCCGACAGTCGTGATTTTCAGGCGTGTTTCCGCCTGCCCCCGCATATCTCCCCTGTTCCTCCTTCCTCCCGCCTCCTTGTACATCCTCCTTGTGGTGGGAGCGGGAGAAGGACGAGGCGGAGGAGGAGGGAGAGGAAAGCGCTCCTCGTGGTTTGAGTCGTTTGGGGTCCTGGTCTGTGAGTCGTTCGGGCCCTTCTGGTGTGAGTCGTTCGGGCTGTGAGTCGTTCGGGCTCTTCCTGGTGTGAGTCGTTCGGGCTTCTCGTGGTGTGAGTTGTTCGGGCCCCTCGTCCTGGTGTGAGTCGTTCGGGCCCCTCCTCCTTCCCGTCCAGAAACGACGCCCAGGCGAGTAGAGGGTCGTCCTGATGGGCTTTTCGGCGTCTTGGGTGCCTCGGGGGGGCCTCTTTGGGCCGTTTGGGATCCTCTTGGGGGCCTCCTGGGGGCCTCTTGGGGCCATCTTGGGGCCTCTTGGTGCCTCCTGGGCGCTTCTTGGGGCCATCTTGGAGGAAATCGATCAAAGAAGAGGGGAGCTTTTTAATTAGCGCTGCCCCCTCAGAAGGCCAAAATGGGGCCAAAACCTTAGTAAAATCAATGATTTTGGCTTGAAAGAAAGAAGGAGGGGAGCTTTAATTAGCGCCGCTTTTTTGCTTGTTTCTTTTGTTCTGTGCCCCTCAGAAGGCCAAACTGGGGCCAAAACCATAGTAAAATCAATGATTGTGGCTTCAAAGAAGAGGGGAGCATTTTTTCTGCCTCCCCCCGTCGGGGCCAGAATCCTCGTGAGGGGTGTCGTGTTTTAGCCCTCCCAGGAGTCGAAAATGACCCCCCTGACGACCCGCGAAAGGACCTCTCCAGGCCCAGGGGGAGGGGGTAGGGGGAGGGGTAAACCCCTCCCCGAAGGGGAAGAAGGGGGTTGAGAACAGAGCGGGCTCTCTAAACCACTCACGCCCAAAGGGCTGGTGGGACTTGCATCGCAGTCTTTCCCCTCCCCCCTCCAAGAGCGGCTGGAGGTCCCAGCTGCTCCGCCAGCAAGGGGGGTCCTCATTCGGTCCCGCGTGTTCCTGCTCCTTACGTGTATCTGGCTTTATCACCCCCCCCGTGGGAACCGCTTTTTTTTGGGGGGGGGGGGATGGCAACGTCCTCGGCTGGATTTTGATGCCGCCATCGTCAGCGTCAGGCGGCTCAGGCAGGGGATTCTAAGGCGCTGCGCTTCCTTTTTGGGCGGACGGCCCCCGGGTGGCTGGACTTCGAGGAGCAGCCACCAAGGCATGCGTTTTTGAACCGTGGCGCGCATCGCCTGACGCCCCGCCCGTCTTGCCTTGCGCCTGGGAGTCTATATGTATACATGTATATATGGATATTTGTATATATATGTATATGTATATATATATAGATATATCTATGTATGTATATATACAGATATAGTTATATATATATATATGTATATATATATGTGTGTATATATATATATATATCCAAGGGAAGGCAGGCGGGATCGGGAGGGGGCCCAAAAGGGGGGGGTGTGGATGGGGGGGACGGGGCGGGGCCCGACAGGTCGGCAAGTAAGGCTCGAGAAGCTGGGACCTGTTCGAGTTCTTGGCTGTGCGAAGCCCCATGGGGTGAGGCCCCGAGCAGGGCGGGGCGGTTTGGGGCCTGTCGTCGCCATCAATTAGCACCCGGGGCAAGGGTGGGCGGAGGAGATTGGGAGAACAGAAAGGAAATCAAGACGAAGCAATAGAAATATGGAAGAGTAAGATAAAAGAACGACAAATTAAAAAGAGAAAAAAGACTGAGTCAAGTACCGAAGGAGTTAAGAATCAAGCGGCATAAGGGAAACAGTACAGGTTAAGAAACACAGAGCCTGGAAGGGAACAGAACAGAAGAAACACCCTTTTGCAAGTAATGGGTTGACGAAAATCCGAATAAAGACGCAGCACGGTCCGAAGCCGACGTCCCGCCGCCTCCCGCACGACACCGCAATCAAGCCGCCGACAGAAGAACCCGCAGACTCACGAAGCCGCCGCCTCAGCAGTATCTCCTACATCTCCTCCGGCCTCCTCCTCCTCCTCCCCCATCCTCACCCTCCTCCTGCCTCCTCCGCCTCTCATCCTCCCCCCCTCCGCCTCATGGACTTACTCCTCATCCTCCTACGTCTCATCCTCCTCCTTCCTGCAGCCCCCCCTCTCCTCCTCACTCCTCCTCCGCCTCCTCCTCCGCCTCATCCCACCTCCCCCACCCCTCCTCCTCCTCCTCCTCCTCCTCCTCCTCCTCCTCCTCCTCCTCCTCCTCCTCCTCCTCCTCCTCCTCCTCCTACTCCTCGCTGTCCTCCTCTTCTGGACGCCTCGACGGGGGCCTCGGAGGAGCAGTGCGAGCCTCCAGACTGAACGCGGCCAGGGCGCCGAAACTGAGCACCTTTTTCGGATGGAGGCGGGAGGAGGGAGGAGGGAGGAGGGAGGAAGAAGAAGAAGAAGAAGAAGAAGAAGAAACACTCCGTTGGGGCCCGCGTCGTCCAGCTACTGCAGCTCGAACAAGGCCCAGAGACGATCCGTAATATAGGATCCAAAACGCCTGGGACGCTGGCCCCAAGACTAGACCGTGAACTGGTCCATTGCCCGAGGCACTGAACGCGGGTACGAGTTACCCGAATCCAGACCCGCGGAACACTACAAACTCACCCCATTCTCCGAACCATCTCCTGCACGTGCTTGCTACGGAAGAGGGCCTCCCACCTGGCCGAGTCCCTGGGGATCCCCTGGGCCGGTAAAGACGCTCTACCGCTCCGTCGCCTGTGGGGGCCTCTTCCTCCGTGCCTCTGTGCATACCTGTCCGCTACCGCTCTCACCTCCGCTCCTACCTCCATCGGGCCTAGGCACCTACTGGAGCTCGTGGGGGCAATCGACGGGGGCGTGGAAGTACTCCTCAAGGGCCTCTGGGATCCCGACGGCAATCTCTGTGGGCTCCTGGGGGCAATCGCAGTAGGCGAGATACTCCTCAAGGGCCTCTGGGCAGCCGGCGTCGATCTCTGTGATCTCCTGGGGGCAATAGAGGGTCTGGGCGAAATACTCCTCAAGGGCCTCTGGGATGCAGACGACAACCTCTGAGGGCTCATGGGCGCAATCGAAGGAGGCGGCGAAATTCTCCTCGAGGGCCTCTGGACCCCCGCGGACCTGGAGGTACGAGACGGCAATGGCGGCGGAATCGATCGCGATGCCGACGACGCCTTCATCCCTCCAATCACTAAGCTCTGCGCAAGCTTCATTGCTTTGAATCACTGAAGAAACTGATTGATGTGAGTCGATATTTGTCTGAATTAATGAAGAAACTGAATGTTGTGAATCACCCATAGATTCTAGAACGGTACTTGTCAGCCTCCCAGCATCATTGACCAACGATGAACTCTGCCCCGTACTCGTATCTATGCAAGAAACGCCCCGAGCCACTCCTGCATCTCCATCTCCATGTGCGTCGTTGGCGTCCTCCCCGACTTCACCTCGCCGCCGAGCTGGGTCAGCGCCGAGATCACCTCCTTGCGGCACTCCCCCAGGCACAGCGTAATCCTCCCTTTCTGCTGGTCGTAGCACCCGTCGAGCTTCGTGAACTTGATCACGTCCTTGCGGTCCTCGTACCCAACCGTTCCCAAGCGCTCCTTCCACTCCTGCAGCCGTACGCAGTTCGCTTCGCCGATGGATTCCTGGCGGTAGATCAGCGCCTCGAGCAGTCCTTCGAATACATACACATGCGGAGCTCCTAGATTGTGCCCTTTTCCTTTGGCTTGCACCTGCTCGTTGTACTTGGCTCCTTGCTCGGCCATGCGGGTTACCTCTGGCATGTCGTGCGGCGTATGATGGCGTCAAAGAGGATCCCCTCCACCGTGCGGCGCGACTGCGCCAGCTGCATGGTCATCTTCATCATGAGCACCGTCAGCGACCTGTTGGCGGGTTTGTAGCCTGCGGCGGACTTGGTCACTTTCGGTTGTTCGCCCTCTGCCGTTCGGCGGCGCTGCTGCCTCTCGTTCTCGGGCTTCGCCACCACCTCGCCGCCAAGCACGAGGGACATCGCGGGCGACTCCCGCCGCTGCTGGACGTGCTGCGGCCGTCAGGCGAACTCTCGGAGATCTGGGCAGAATGGCGACGGGCGGAGGAGGTCAGTGTTGCTCGACTGCATGGTCCAAAACACCATCTAGCGTCTCATGCTCTTCTCCGCACATAGGACATGTACAGGACTTAGGTGTCACTGGGGTCCACGCGAAGGCCGTCCTATGGAGTCGACATCGGTTATTTAGCCAGGCCGTGCGCACGTGTTGTCTAGCACTATCTCTGGTCGGGAAACAATTGCGGCACCGCGGGCAGACGTTCGAGAACACCGACGAGAAAGGCGGGTTTAACTTTCCGTGCCCACCCCTTTTCGATCGAGATTGATGCGCAAACAGGGCATTCTTGGTGTCGACTATGGGTGAGCACATGTTACCGTGCTCATCATTAAGCGCGCAGACGTGCCTGCCAGGTGCCATTGAGGGCCCACCTTCTTCCCTAAGAACCTCTGCGGGCCCCCTCCTCCCCATCATGTAAAACCACAGCCCGTAATAGTTTTGCGTCTGGCTTCAAAAAGAACTCCCGAACCTCGCCCTCCAGGAAAAAAATGCCTTCCAATAATACCCCCACCCCCCCCAGGACTCGAAGACATCCTCCGCTCCACTGGTGTGCGCGAAGGTCCAGGCATCTTTCCCAATCTGCATGACGATCGGCGGTGCGGACTTCGTGAGCTTGTCATCAGCGTCCAAACTCTCAGGCCCATTCTGTAGTGCACCCCATATCGCTGCTATCACCTGGCGGTGCGCGACGGCGTCCTTGGCCATCGGCTGCACCCATCCACATCTCCTGGCCGCCTGCTCGAGGCGTATCGGCATCAGTCGCCACTTTCGGCGAAGCACCGAGCTGGGGAGGGTGCGTGGGCGTTCGCCGTCCCATTCAGTGGCCCTCCACCTCTCCAGGACCCCGAGGTATGTATCAATCAAGTTATCTAATTGTTGCGTCTGGGAGGTCGAAAAAAAACGTGCGGCTCGTTTGCTGATAATGCTGCTTCTACCACGTGGCCCCTAACGGCCATACTCTTGGTACTCCTGGAAAGTCTGCTCGTCCAAAGCTTCCCCATCTTTCCCCATCTGGCGTGGGCCACAGCTCTGCGGTACCTGAACTCCTCCATGCTGGAGAGGCTCCAAGCGTGGCGGCTACCCAGATACCTAGCGCGAGGAATAGCGTTGCCACCTGCGAAGGCCTGGGAAACAAACTTGTTCGCTCGATGGCTTCTGAGACTCGGGACCGTTTCTCTCTTACTGTAGTTCTGGATCACCCCCACCTCCTCCAGGGCCGTATCCAGAGTCGCATCGCTCGTCTCCAAAATCGTCTTAATCGCTTCGGGCGTCGTGTCGTCGATCGGGGTCTTGTCAAAAATGTCGTCGGCGTAGACAGTCGTCGCTCCACAACAGGTTGCCCCAAAGATCTTCATCTCAGGTTCGTAACCTCCGAAGACGTCGAGCGTGTGTCGATCCACTGGCGCATCGGCTGCTCCATTGCTTTCGCAAAGAGCACGGGCTCCTCACTAGATCCCATCAGACCCCCGCGTCGATGTCGGGCTGCCAGGTTCCTCGGCTTCCTCTAGGGCTCCCCCGTGCCCCCCTCAAAGATCATGATACCAGACGTCTCCGAGCGCGTTCGCATTATCTGTGCATCAGCCTGTCCGAAGAGGTGATTGATCGCATGTCTACGCGCTCGTGCTGTAGTAGATGCAAACGCGTTTGTCATGTCGTGCAGGTTGTTCAAGTGTGGTATGCGCATGTTGCCGTACCTAACGCCCACGCAAAGTTGTGCTGCGACGGCGTCTTCACGCCGCCGACGACGAAGAAATCCATGGAACTCTGCAGGCCATCGAACTTCCTGGGCATGCATTTTTTTTGTTCAGCAGGCCTCCGTAGAAACCTTTCCAGTACGGGCACATCACGTTGATCAGTCTTTTTGGGAGTGCCCCCACCTTGCCGTTAAACTTCGCTACCGGGATCGCCCATGCAAGATTCCCCAAGATCGGTGTGCGGCCTATCATGCGGCATGCTACGTGTATGTCCTCCAGGATGCGTGCGGATGTCGTCATGCTCGTCTTGCCGATCGTGTGTGCCCAAGACCTAAGTGTTCCTCTGGGCCCACGGAGAGGTACTTCGGGTCGGCGGCCATAAGGTGCAACTCTACGGGGAAACTCCATGGGGGCGCCGCCCGTCTCTTCTGACTCTTGCGTAGCTGAAGAAGGGTCATCTGATAGTCACGCTAACCGAATCATGTATGTCTTTCCTGTTCCTCGTCTCCTGGCAGTGCTGGCGGTTGATGGAACAAGGACAGCATGCGCTCAACATCCAACGGGACTGCCTCCATTCCTCCCCCCGCGGCAGAGAGGCTGAGCTGTTCCTCTCACTCCTCCTTCGTCTCGTAGGTCTGCGGCATGTTGCATCTCCTTCGCCTCGGACCTCCTTGCTTTGCGGCCAATAAGAAGAGTAGCGTGTGCGATGCCAATGAGCTCTA